ACAAAGGAAATCGCTGCAGCTGTTATTATGGAAGCGATAGAAGAGGATCTTGTTGCAGGATACCGTGATGTAGATGCTCGAGAACTCCAAAAATTTAACAAGGTATTTTTAGAAACTTTAAACAGTAGTCACAGACGTTCCATGCATGATTCATACTTTTTAGGCATTTTTCGATGAAGTTGAAACTATTGTTAAAGTCAATGAATATGGTTGAACTAGTTCGAATATATATTCTAAATCAAGAGGTCAAAATCTTGAATGTGATGTCCCACGTTGGTTGGGGAGGAGAACAAACCACCATCGGTGTGGAAACCTTCCCCTAACAGACGTGTTTTAAAGCCTCGAGGGGAAACCTGAAAGGAAAAGCCCAAAGAGGACAATATCTGCTAGCGGTGGATCTGGGTCGTTACAAATGGTGTTAGAGCCAGACACCGGACGATGTGCCAGCCTTCTCGCTGTTCCCCGAAGGGGGGTAGACACGAGATGGTGTGCCAGTAAAGACACTGGGCCCCAAAGAGGGTGGTTTTGGGGGTGGTCCTACATTGATTGGAGGAAGGAAAGAGTGCCCCACATTGGGGAAAGGGGGTGGACTGTGATGTCCCATATTGGTTGGGCAGAGAACAAACCACCATTTATAAAGGTGTGGAAACCTTCGCCTAGCAGACGCGTTTTAAACCTTTGAGGGAAAGCTCGAAAGGAAAAGTTCAAAGAGGACTTATCTGCTAACGGTGGATCTGGATCGTTACATTGAATCTCTACTTTGTTGAACTCAAAAGATGAAAAAAAAATAAGGATTGTTCAAGCACATAACGGGATCGTACTTGTAGTTGACTAATCATTCAAATCAAATTATAAGTCAAAGACATCACCATGAGTATTGCAATTTTCATATTTGTTTTCTTTTCCAGGAACAAATTTTGGAATTTGTGAAGAACAACATGTGGGATCCAGATTACCCGACAGTAGTTTACCATCAGGATTGATTTATTGTTGTAAGAACAGAAT